CCCCTCCTCTCGACAGGCGTGGTGCCCTCTTCGAAAAAGTGCAGACTTTGAGAACAGTTACCATACTGGTGGGAAAAACAACAAAGGCGAAACTAACCACCTGTGCTATTCCTATTCTTCTTTTGGGGAAACGAAAGACAGCTTCAAAACAAAGACTGCAGCACCATTTGAACCAATGCGCAGACTTCCGCGGATACTTTTTTGGCTGAGTGAACTAGAGCTATCTTCTTATGAACGAACTTTGATAATAGAAAGTTATCTGTATAACTATTGAAAACATGTTAATGGGATTCCAGGCTGCCGCAGCACTGCAAAAGGGAACTGCGGAAAGGAGTCCTGGAAGCCATTGAGTGTAAAGGTTTCTCTAATTTAACTCCCAGACCGTCGGGTACAATCGCGGGGGAGGGGGGGTGTTGTAGTGTGCACAGCAGATTTGTGTGTTTACTCGGCCAAGTTCTCTGGCCCTCAAGACTGTAAAAACTTCGTCAACGGGGTCACCAATGGGATCTACGGGTTCACAATTTTGACCGCCAGCCGTTCTCGTTTAGCGCCAGAATAAAACTATAGCCTAGATAGGAACGACTGGCGGGGATTTTTTTAAAGTATGAACCTGCTAGAGGCCTGCATTGACGGCTTAACGAAAAGAAAAGAAGTGCAAATACAGGTTTTATGTAGCTCTAAACTTCAGCGGAAATAATGAAGGCCTAGGTCGTGGTAGCTGCATGCATGACATTTTTCTCCCGGGTAAGATCAAGTATTTGTTACCAGTCACACTTCACAGACTGCCAACATTGTGTGCAAATAAAAATGTGATGCATCATGGTGAAGTCAGGCACTCGTCAAAATAATGAAAACAAAGTAGTGTGTTGTGTTTTTCTGCCCTTTGTGTTATTTTTTTCGAATTTTCTTCTTTTTTTTCTCAACAATTCTTACGTCCTTTAAAAAATATCAGAAGTGGATTTTACTTTTTTTTAAATATTGGTCAAAGGCAAAAAAAAAGAAAGTTAAATTTTCAGTTTTCAAGGACATTCAAGCTTTGGAGGTCACCAAACTTTGGCGGCCATTTTCTGGCTAATGTTGCCTCTGACACCAAACACCCCCACCCCTTTAAACGCAAATATCTCGACTTCTATTCAAGATATTTTTTTTTCTTTAAAACAGCACAAATAAATAAGTTTGGTTTAAGATTATATCAAGAATTCCACATACCCCCAAATTGACG